AAAACTATATTTTTTGAATGTGCTCTACAAAACTAATTCTTTTGACTTGCACTTTACAAAACTCAACTTTTTTGGATTGACAATGTATAAAACTGTCAATTTTTAACTGACACTCTACAAAACTGTACTTTTTTTGACCGATGCTCTACAAAATTTCTCAATATACTTGATAGTCCCAGCTGTACATTATCATCCAAAGACCTGGTTTTTTTTTTTTTTGTTTTTTGTTATTTTGGTGACTGATGCTCTGCAAAAATCTACTTTTTTGACCGATGCTCTACAAAATTTTGGTTTATCAATATACTATCATTAAATAAAAGTTCCAAATGTATAATATCATGCAAATACCTCTATTATTTTCTTTGGACTGACACTCTACAAAACTACTTTTTTTGGACTGATAGTGTGTAAAACTGTCCTTTTTTTTGACTGACGCTCTACAAAACTCAATTTTTTGACTGATGCTCTTTTATAATATTGAGCTTCTCAATTTATCTTTTTCATTTAATAAAAAGCTGTAAGTTTTTTTTTTTTACCTCTACCCCACTCCCTATCACCTTTTTTTTGACTAAAGCTCAACAAAATATCACTTTAAAAGATATTCTCAATATTCTTTTCTCAATTGAATGAAAGACCCAACTGTACCTTATCTTGCAAAGACATCTACTTTTTTTGACTGATGTTCTACAGAGTATTGAGTTTTTCAATTAATTTTTTTTTATCAAATGAAAGAACCAATTGTATTATTTCAGACCTCTACCCATCACCCTCCCTCTTTTTTGACTCTTGAATGCACTGTAAAATTTAGAGTTTCTCAATTTACTTTTTCTCATTGAATGAAAGACCCAACTAAGACCTTTATGCCATCACCCTCCCTCCTTTTTTCTCCTTTTTTTGATTAACGCTCTAAAAACATGTCACTTTACAAAAAGTTTTTCAAAATACTTTTTTCAATCGAACGAAGACCCAACCTCATCTTGTGCAAACAATTCAACAGTTTTTTTTTTTGTTGACTGTTGCTCTACAAAATATTGAGTTTCTCAACACTTTACCGAAAGCCCCAACTGTACCTTATCGATGAAGGTGGCGAAGCGGTTGTTCAGGGACTTGATCTGCTCTTTCTCCTGAGTGCGCACCATTTGGATGTTGGGGTCGATCTCCAGGTTAAGAGGCGCCAGAAGGCTCTTGTTAACAGAGACGCTGGCGATCGGCGGCCCCAAATAGGCAGAGCTGGTGCTAAAACTTGGGGCAGATGCTCCCAAGGAGATCCCACTTAAACTGCTGTACCCATAACCTCCCATCTTTCCGCTGCTCCTCACAGAGCTGCTGGAACTGATGCGCTTGCTTCTCAGACTCATGATGACAAAAAAAGTGGTGCAGAGCTGCGGAGGTTTGGGATGAGAACCGGTGGGCAGACCTGAGCACAGAGGGTGTCTCTTGGTGGAAAGGCTGGGCTTATAAAGTGCCACCAGGATGGGGTGGAGAGTTGATATTGTGGGAGAACCTGTTTCAGATTGGACAAACACACACACACTGCTTTATCTGAGCTCCCGGATCAGCCGCAAGCACACGCTAACTCTCTCGCGCTCTCTTAGAGTTTCACCGTGCTCAAATTGCATCTAAATGTTTAATGTGACCCTCATGATACTGAAAGCCCTACAGAAATTCACTATTAGTATCATACATGCTATAGTTTAGGGCCTATATACCTTTATGTTAAAGGTATCGATCAGCCAAAAAAAATGTAAATTTACTTGCTCTCAAGTGGTTTCCAACCTTAATGAGTAACTTCTGTTGAACACAAAAAAAGAGTTTCATAAAAAAGCTGAAAACATGTAACCATTGACTTCAATAGTACACTCTCAGAAATACAGGAGCTACAGAAGGTACAGGAGCTGTCACTGGGGCAGTACCTTTTCAAAAGGTACATATTTGTATCTATAGGGTCAATGATGGTACTTTTTAGATACATTTGGGCACTAATATGCACCTTAGAGGTACCACTGTGGACCCTTTGGGTACACGTATGTATCTTTTGAAAAGGTACTGCCCCAGTGACAGCTCTTGTACCTTTATTTCCGAGAGTGTAGGGAAATAAAAATACTATGGAAGTCAATACAGGTTTACAGCTTTCTTCAAAATATTGTCTTTAGTGTTTGACTGATTAAAGAAACTTATAAATGCCTGAAACAAGTACAGGGTGAGTAAATGAAGACACAATTGTCATTTTGGGTGAACTATCCCTTCCCTTTAAATAATAATCGGAGGCATCGGTTTGAAAAAAATGACATAATGATATAAAACCCGAAAAAATAAATGCTTTTGCTTGACCAAAATACTTTGAAATATGGAGCACTGAATAAAATAAGACTTTTTTGTGGTTAATATAACCAATTTAGTATGCGCTCTTCTGAATCAAACATGCAATGTTTTTTCAGTTAGCAAAACTGTTTATTTTTGCAGCAGTTAAAAACGTGTTTGGAGCGCCACCTACTGTTTGAATCAGGTATTTAAATGCTGATTTTGGTGTATTTATAATTATTGTACATTCATAAATAACATATAGCTGTTTCTGTTATCAAATGCTGATGCATATTACGATTAATTTGCTACACTGTAAAAAATGCTGGGTTCCACACAATTCCTTCATGTTGTCCCAACACAGATAGATTATGTTAACTTAATTGTTTTTTACAAATTTAAATGGATTGAACATAAAACAGTGGCTCAGTGGTTAGCACTGTGGCCTTACAGCAAGTAGGTCTCTGGTTCGAGTCCTGGCTGGGTCAGTTGGCATTTCTGTATGTTGTTTGCATGTTCTCCCAGTGTTCTCTTGGGTTTTATCCGGGAGCTCCGGTTTCCCCCACAGTCCAAACACATGCGCTATAGGAGAATTGAATAAACTACGTTGGCGTAGTGTATGTGTGGGAATTCAAGAGTGTATGGGTGTTTCCCAGTACTGGGTTGCAGCTGGAAGGGCATCCACTGCATAAAACATATGCTGATAAGTTGGTGCTTCATTCCGCTGTGGCAACCCCTGATAAATAAAGGAACTAATCAGATGGAAACAAATGAACATAAAAACTTTAATATTGTGTTGATTCAGCTCGTTTTTAAAAAAAAGTAGTTTAAACAAATTGCAAAAAAAATGATTTAAGTTACCTGTTGCTGTACTATTATGCAAAGAAAATGCTATTCTTCCACTTAAGCAGTAGTTTAAGGATTTGGATGCTAAGAGTTTCACCTACTGGTAAGTTTTTACTTGATTTGCTTTAGATGGTTTTGTCATACAAAATCTCAAATCCATTTGTTAGATGGTCTTATTTATTGTTAAGAGATGCCCAAAATAGGGCCCGCGGGCCAAAGTTAGTCCATGGTAACCTATTATTTGGCCCGTCATCCCATCTGAGAACAGAGGGACAACAATAGGAATTTTTTTACCCATGTAATTTTGTTATATATGTATAGTGTTATTATAGTATATACTGTTCTTTAATACAAAAACAAATCTCATGAGATGACTAATTTAATAAATATTTCCTAAAATTTCATTTAGAATACAACGTGTTATTTTGGTTTTTTTTGAACTACAACAAAAAAATAGAGACGGAAGCTTATCTTATTAATCTTTTGATACTAATTACAAAGTACCATATTCACAGATGACAATTTAATAACCCAAAAACCATTTTATCCTGCTATACTAATTGAATTAAGCTAAGTTTATTTATAAACTAATTTCGAGAGGAGCACGTGCTTATGATTGATAGCACCTGGTCCACATTAGCTAACACTGATTTACCAAACAGACGACTCCTTAACCGCTATAAATAACCAGAGTATCTTACTTCAGCCATCTTTGTCTTGAAGAATCCCCCCTTCCACCCCTACTCCTCCCATGTCCTTGTCAGGACAGCACGGAGGCCAAGTGGTTAGCACCACGGCTGCACAGCAAGAATGTCACCGGTTCGGACACTTCCTGGCCAGGTCGGCATTTCTGTGCGGAGTTTGCATGTTCTCCTCGCGTTTGCGTGGGTTTTCGCTGGGCTCTCCGGTTTCCTCCCACCGACCAAAAACATGTAACAAAAGCTTTTTCACTTGAAATCTTCAGGATTGTGTAATATCACAAGGCCTTTTTTTGTTAGTAGGCTATGTTTACTTACACATATTTGTTTGTCTTATATGTTTTGTTCTGTACACACTTGACATTTTTTTTCTTTTCCCTTTCTTTTTGTATTGTTCTAAATGTTGTTCTTTAATAAATACAAACACACTTCTTTGCTCGGGACAATTGCTCCCAGTCGCCCCCTGTCGTTTAAAAGTAATAAATTAACCAAACGAACCAAAATACCAGATTGCAATGGTTACCGTGGCAATTTAAGAATCTTGGAATCAGGTGTATACTCATTTAAAGCATGTAAACAGATGTACTAACCCACATTCCACATTATTTAAGCTGGTACTTTCACATAAAGGTTGTGTGATTCCTTCTTACTGGTTTTGGTGTAGTTGATATTATTTTAATGTTCATTAAGCAGGGGTGTCCAACCTTGGTCCTGGAGGGCCGGTGTCCTGCATAGTTTAGCTCTAACTTCCTTCAACACACCTCCCTGAAGGTTTTTAGTATACCTAGAAAGAGCTTGATTAGCTGCTTCATGTGTGTTTAATTGGGGTTGGAACTTAAATATGCAGGACACTAGCCCTACAGGACCGAGTTTGGACACCCCTGATTTAAAGCCATCAAGCTTTCTCTTTACAAAAGTAATATATCTGTCATTATTCCCCTAGCCTAACAACAACAACAAGCCCAACACTAGTGCTGAATAAATCATTTAATCAGAATGACTAAAGTTTTTAGACTCCCACAAGGTGACAAAAGCAGAAGTCCCGTTCCTGTGGAGGTAAATGTGGGCGTATATTACATGTTCCTCCAGATTCCCGCTATACAGCGCATTGGCCAATGAAATCGTTGCATACTGGTATAAACAAAAAAAAGTAGCCAATGAGAGGGCAGTGCTCTCCGCGTGACAATATTTAGTCGTGTTTGCGGTCAGTGCTAATAAGAAAAAATGGATTAAACGAAAGGGATAAGAACTGAAAATATGGATAAAACGAATGGACAAACAACAGAGGAGAGTGTTGATGCTAGCAACACTGAGGAAAGCGATGAAGCCCTTGAATCGTCATGCGAAAGCTCTTCTTCCAATGCAGACTCTGACGAGGAGGTTTACCTCAAGACGCTGGATGAATTATGGTAAAGTTGGTTTTATATTCACATATTTAATCAGTGACAACTTGTAACATGCTACATATATTGTTTACCATGGCACATTGAATATTGGGTCTGAAATCACATGAAAGTATGACTTAAAAACAATATTAGCACTATTTGTTTGACTGTAAAAATGTTTTACGTTGATAGTCATTGGCTGCTGTTATTAATTCGCCATTTATCAGTTGCAAGTAACATTTTAAAGAAATTATATAAATGTGTGAATATAAAACCAACTGTACCTCAATACATGTTAGAGTAGCTTAATACACTTAAACTGCTAAAATTGTTTTTTATTTCATGTTTACTGACGGAAATATCACATTTGAAATGATATCAACAAATGTATGCTACATTAGAATGATCTGTACTCACCAATGCTAATGTTGTCTTTTGTTTAGCCGATTAATATACAAATTAAAATGGTTTTATACTTGATAACACTAGCATTGGTGTTGGGGATTGAGGTAAAGTTGGTTTTATAATTACATATTTGATCAGTATCAACTTGTAACATGCTCCCTTTATTGTTTACCATGGTACTTTAAATATTTGGTCGGAAACCACATGCATGTATGACTTGAAAACAACATTAGCATTATTTGTTTGACTGTAAACAATGTTGTATGTTGATAGTCGTTGGCTGCTTATGTGATTTTAGCATTTGCACATGATATGTTTGTGAAATTATATTGTTTAGGAGAATGTCAGAAAGTATGAATATAAAACCAACTTTACCTCAATAGTTCGTTTTATATTTGGATATTCAGACATTCTTCTTAAGAATATAACTACAGAAGAGCATTCTTTGCTAATTCTAAATGGGACAATCATATTACCATCCAATTAATACCAAAGTACAACATTGTTTACAATCGATTAGATAGTGCTGATATTGATTTCAAGTCATACTTGCATGCTATTTTAGACAGAATATTCAAAGTAGCATGATAAACAATATAGATACCGTAAAATGAACAAATGTGCGATTATAAAACCAACGTTACCTCAATGAATAAAGGCTGAGTTATACGGGGGAAAATATGATGCAAGTCCTCGCATATAGTGATAACAATGTATAGACCATTTCAATGTGGTCATGTTATTGGCCCATGAACATTTTCTGCTTGTTATTAAACCATTTCAAAATTGCAACAAGAGGCAATTTGATCATAACTTAATGTTAAAACAGACATCATGACATTACATATCAATATGTGAGACTTTTCGGTTGCTCAGAAGCTATAGACATAAAAAATGTCAAGCAGAAAATACGTTGGGACCATTGTTTTTGTTTACATCCGTCAAAATGTTTCTATAAATGACTGTGTAGTGCCGTTTCTGTAGGCTCAATCCATTAGTTAAAGATTGTGGTCAAGTTAGTTTTATATTCACACATTCAGACCTTCTCCTTCGTAATATAATGTCACATAAATATTATTAGTAAATTCTCAATGTTTCATATGTTTACTTATTATTTATACGTGATCATATTCTCACTTTATTAACTTCAGGGCAAATGTTTGATTAAAAATAAACAAACAAAAAATAAATATTACTAAAATATCAAAAGACTTCCTAAAACTAATGATTACAGTGAAATAAAGCAAAATGCAAACACTGTACTTGCGAGATTGCAACTTTCTCACAATACTGGTATTTTTGTTATACAACTGTGCACTATTGCGCTCATATAAATTCTGAAAAATTATTTGCGAAACAATGAAATAAATGATTGGGCGTAATTTGAATATTTGGACTTTTTATTTTGTCCATATGCATCATCATAATGCACAATGCTAATCTGAATAATACATTATCAACTCTATAGCTGCTTTACAGCAGAAATGTTGACATTTCATAATTGTTACATTTTTATTATTCTCTGTAGCTCCTTTAAACGATACATAATATCAATAAATGTGAAAAGAAATTCTGCCCCTGTATGTTTAAAACACTAAGGAAGTTTCGTTTTCATGCAACAGGTCCCCAGATGGCTCTGATGAGGAATGGTGTCCCGAAGTCACCCCACAAAGGAAGAAGAGAAAACATCAGTCTTCTGTATCTCCATCCCCAGCAAAGTCTCATAGGTCTGCTTCACCTGGGTCTGCACAGAGTGCCAAAGGGAAAGGGAAACATAAAGGCAGGATGAGACAACATGTATCCACATCCAACAGTATTTTAGAAAGCAAGTGGAAAAGTGTAGATGAGCCTGATATTGAGCCGCCTCAGCTATTGTTTAAACCCAAACGTACACCCGGCCCACAGTTAATATCCACTGCGTCATTCAGCGTTCTGCAATATTTTGAGTTATTCTTTTCACAACCAGTGATGCAGAAAATAGTAGATCATTCGAACATCTTTGGCGCCATGCGTCATGAGGCAAGGAAGAGAAAGTGGAAGGACATTACTGTAGCTGATCTGAAATCATTCATAGCCATGGTGATTTACATGGGCATAGTGAAATGCTTCAATCTGCAAGACTATTGGAGGATGTCTGACGTCTACAGTCTGCCATATCCTGCAAAAATCATGTCTCGTATTAAATTTCTTACCATAAGTTGGGCTCTTCATCTTAGTGATCCTAAAGTGGATGCAGAAAATGACAAGAAGAGAGGAACACCTCAATACGACCCGCTGTGTAAGATCAAACCGCTGTACCAGGACATTAGAGATGCTTGCAAAGCTTCATTTCATCCTCATCAGAACATCTCCATCGATGAAAGAATGGTGGCGTCAAAGGCTAGACATGGCCTCATACAGTACATAAGTGAACCCACAAAATGGGGGTACAAACTGTTTGTGCTGGCAGATTCCCTCTGCGCCTACACGTGGGACTTCTTCATTTATGAGGGAAAGGTGAAAACGGAGCAGAGGAAAGGTATAAGTTATGATTCTGTCATGGCGCTGATTGATGAACGGGTGTTGGGCACTGGATACAAGCTGTTTGTCGACAACTTTTACACCAGTCCCACACTCTTCAGAGATCTGCTCAGCAAGAAGATCGGGGCTTGTGGCACGATTCGACCAAACCGCATCAACCACACAGAGACTGAGGCTCCTCGTGGGAATATTCGCTGGTTTAGAGAAGACGGTCTGCTCTTTGTTGAGTGGAAGGACAAGAGAGACGTGCTGATGTGCTCCACCTTTCATAAAGCGTATAACGGAGACTATATAAAGCGGAATGTGAAAGGAAAAGGTAGCGTTTGGGGTGTTAAGGAATTTCCTGTTCCGGGTGCCGTGTTGGACTACAACAAGTAAGTTTATTTTCAGTGTTAAATCATCTTGTCCTTTATTCGCTAAACTGTACATCTGATACATTTCTTTTCATTACAGATACAAGGGAGGAGAGGATGTGTCTAATGCACTAATCGGGTATTACACCGTTTTTCGTCAAACAAAGAAGTGGTATCGGTCCTTTTTCTACCACTTTGTCGACATCGCCATAGTCAATGCCTTCATTCTGCACCAGCAGATGGCCAAGTCGAAGAACCAGAAGGCCATGACCCAGAAGGCCTTTCGTGAAACACTTATTACAGAGCTTACAGGAATAGGGTCTGCCTCAACCTCTACCCCTAAGGCTCCTGTTCCTACCACTGGCCTCCACCTGCCCAGGTACATCAGTGGGGACAGCACAGTAGGAAGGCGGAAATGCAAACTGTGTCAACTTAAAACACCAATGATCTGTGCAACTTGTGATGTTGCATTGTGCCTTGTTTCAAATCGCAACTGTTACGTTAAGTGGCATGAACAAGATAGTGATAGCGAGGAGGATGACGATGATGACGACTGAAGCTCCAACATTTTTCCAATTCGTTGATCCTAGGGGAAAAAAGTCATGCACAGAAAGCTTGCAAGCAAGTCTAATGTGGTTTCTCAACCACGTTCCTGGAAGACCAGCAACACTGCATGTTTTTACTGTCTCCTTTGTCTTTCAGTTTCAGATAATGAGCTGATGATCTGAATCAGGTGTGTTTGTTTAAGGAGATACATGGGGCTTACACATTTGTTATGAGTCTGTTACAGGACAAACTGCAAAACGATTCAAAGTTGAATCTCATGCAGTGACATTCAAGTCGAAAAGGAAGTATTCTGTCAATTTAATTGATCCTGAATATAGATTGGCCGTACGTCAGAGGTATAGACACGCATACCAAACAACATTATGGGTAAATGTCCGTGCCCCTCACCAAGCTTTGAAACCAGCATACAACCCACGTCTCATAGACATCTAAACGTAGACAGCTTGGCTAAAACAAGGCTTAACTTGGGCTGTCAGTGAAAATCTAATAGACATCTAAGAATATCCCAAAACTAGACTAGACGCCAAATAGACAGATTAGACAGACTTTATATGTGTAGGCATTCATTTCTGATTGTTTGATGACTAGTCTAGTTTTGGCCTATCCTTAGATGTCTGTTAGATTTTCTCTGACAGCCCAATTTTAGCCTTGTATTAGCCAAGGTGACTATGTTTAGACGTCTATTAGACATCTTTTAAAATCAAAACAAAAAAAAATTTTTGCCGGGAATACACTGCAGCAGTAATTCTCAAGCAACCATCTGTCTTGTTCATCACAAAATTCTCTGTGGAATAATTTATCAGACACTATTTTGGCTTTTACTTGTACGATAGCTGTGAATGGTCAAAACACCCTTATAAAGGCTTGCTACGAGAAAAAGAGAAATTCTAACTCAATCCAAATCTTATAAGCGTGAGATTGAATTTATTTTTTAACATGCAGAGATTTCGGACTCGGTGTACACTGGATTTAAAGCTCTTTGGTTTGGTTTTTGGGTTTATGAGTACTTGCAGGGGTGTCCAAACTCATTCCTGGAGGGCCGGTGTCCTGCAAAGTTTAGTTCCAACCCCAATCATACACAGCTGGCCTAGCTAATCAAGCTCTTACCAGGCAGTCTAGAAACATCCTTGCAGGTGTGTTGAAGCAAGTTGGAGCTAAAATCTGCAGGACACCGGCCCTCCAGGACCGAGTTTGGACACCCCTGTCTTAAAGGGATAGTTCGCCAAAGAATTCTCACCATTTACTCACACTTGAGTGGTTCTATGCTTTTTTGAAGCTCTTGTGTTGAACACACAAATATTTTGAAGAATGCTGCAATCCAGCAGCCATTGATCTACATATTAGAAACATTATTATGGCCCAGGTCTAGGGAGAACAACATGGGCATAATATAAGAAGAAAAACAAATGTGAAAAAAACTTAATGCTAAAGAAAAAAAAAGACTCCCTTCGGTCGACAACCAAACTCAGACACTTAGTTGAGAGTATTTATTTTTATATATATATATATATATATTAATAGATTTATTATAGAAAAATATGGGTAATATAAATGAGCATCTCTTCAGGGTGACCACAGGCCAAAATAACAAACAAAAGAATCTATAAAGTAAATGCACTAAATTACCTATTACTATTTAAAGAAAAATACAAAAAGCTTACCTTACTCCCTAAACATTAACATAGTCAAAAGTAATCAAATAAATAGGCAGGCCACACCTACATGCTCAAACTCTCAAAATAGTTTAACGTATGAGGAACATCAATACAATATTGGTTGTTGGTCGTCGGCCGGAGGGGTGAAGGAAACCCAGGAGCTCCACTCCAAACACAGAACGCACAGAAATGAGCTCTCCGAACCCTGCTGGAACCTTATATACAGGCCTCTGAGACCAGCAGCCAATCAGAATAAGGGATCACGCCGGTATGAGATCCTATGAGACAACAGAAAAACAACAAGAAGGCGGGACAAAGAAAAAGACAGAGTACAATCCGCAATAATAAATAAATAAACTTCAGCCGTAACAAACACAAAATACTATGGAAGATGCTTTCCAACATTCTTCAAAAAATTGTCTTTTGTGTTCGACAGAAGAAAGAAGCTCAAACAAGATTGGAACAAATGGAGGAAAATTAAATGACAACAAAAATTTTGGGTGCATTATCCCATGAAAGATAACAATTTGCTTTAAAATGATTTTTAAAAGTTAACTATTTTCAAAGGCTTGATTGTGCTTGTAGACTGTAATGCAGGGCTGGCCAAACTTGGTCCTGGAAGGCCCGTGTCCTGCAAATTTTAGTTCCATTAAACATGCTTAAACCAGCTAATCAAGCTCTTTCTAGGTACACTAAAACTTCCACGCAAGTTAGAACTAAACTATGCAGAACACCAGCCCTCCAGGATCTAGTTTGAACACCACTGTTTTAGTATATCTATTAAGACCTTGAATAGCTGGTTTAGGTGTGTTTGATTGGGGTTGGAGTTTAACTCTCCAGGACACCGGCCTTTCAGGACAGAGTCTGGACATCCGTGCTCTAATATGTTCATGCTTTTTGTTTTTAAAATACAGATTTTTTTTTTCATTCCAAGCTGCTGTTTCCATTGGTTTTAAAGTGGTCTGTTGACTTTCTTGCTCCTCCATTAGATTGGTTAGCTTGCCCGATGTGTTCTGTTTCACTTTCGACCAAGTGCATGTTTATCGGAAATGCAAATGTTATGGGTCATGATGTCGGTCAAGCCAGGAAGATGCTCAATTCTGTAAAAGAGAATGTCTCCTTTTCCCTTTACGCACTAACTAAAGTTTAAATCGTGGAATCATAAACAAGGTTCCCTTTAAACATGCTGTATTGTATTCGGAAAATAAAGAGGCGCAGAGAGAGAATCATTAAGATTATTGATTTTTCTTCAGCTTGGTCTCTTTATTTATAAAGGGTCGCCACAGTGGAATGAACTGCCAACTTATCCAGCATAAGTTTTACACAGCGGATGCCCTTCCAACTGCAACCCAGAACTGGGAAACACCCATACAAACTCACTCGCACACATACACTACGGCCAATTTAGGTTATTCAATTCACTGATGGCACATGTGTTTGGACTGTGGGGGAAACTGGAGCACCCGGAGGAAACCCACACCAACACGGATAAAATGCAAACTCCACACAGAAATGCATCTGACCCTGCCGGGACTTGAACCAATGGCCTTCTTGCTGTGAGGTGACGGTGCTAACCACTGAGCCACCATGTCCCCCCATTCAAATTATGCTCAGTCATTATTTCTCAATGCTAATGTTGCAAACAGATGTAAACAACTTTTTTCAACTAATTTAATCCATTTTTGTTGATTTTGTAGTCAGTTTAATCTCAGATACTACAGTAAGGATGTTTATAGGACAGATTAATCAATTTGAGATGGCCAATAGTCTTTTAAAGACTCATTTAATTGGGACACACATATTTAGTTACTTCATCCAGTCCTTGTTTAGTGAGTTTATGGACAGTCATTCATTTATTTTCCTCTGGCTCAGTCTATGAGTGTCCAAACTTGGTCCTGCAAGGTCAGTGTCCTGCAAAGTTTAGTTCCAACCCCATCTGACACACCTGGGTTAGCTAGTCAAGCCCTTACTAGGCTTTCTAGAAACATTCGTGCAGGTGTGTTGAGGCAGGTTTGAGCCAAAATCATCAGGACACCGACCCTCCAGGACTGAGTTTGGACACCCCTGGCTTAGTCCCTTTATTTATGAGGTGTAACCACAGTGCAATGAACCGCCAACTTATTCAGCTGTGTTTTATGCGGATGCCCTTTTAGCTGCAACCCAGTGCTGGGAAACACCCATACACTCTCACATTCACACATATACACTTAAAGCTTATTTAGTTTATGCCAGTGGTTCTCAAACGTTTTTCATCAAGAACCACCTCAGAAATAAATTGTCTCTCCAAGTACCACCAAAATGAGCAGTATTGAAATACAGTAGCGTAGTAGGCCCAGTAAAGCAGCTACAGCTCTGCACAGTTTAAAAAAAACGTGGCAGATTATCTCAGAAATATAGGCTATATGTCATATATGGCGTATTACATGTATATACATCCTTTTGGTAAATTTTGAAATGTGTGTAGCATGTACATGACAAATTTCATTCCTCTGCGTACCACTAGTGGTACACGTACCACAGTTTGAGAACCACTGGTTTATGCAATTCACCTATAGCACGTGTGTTTAGACTGTGGGGGAAAACGGAGCAGTTAATAAACATTTTAACATTTAATATTGATCCGTGAGAAAGCTCCTGTTTTGCCAGATACAATGAGCTTGTCTTATGTTTCATTTTTGTTGTGTCTGAATGAGCTGGGTGCAACTGGAAACATTCTTTACAATCATTTCTTCCCCAGGCTACTGTCAAAAGTTGGTATTTTGGAGTAAGAAACATGAGCTGACATGAAGTAGAGCTTGTAAATGTAACTTCCTATCATTAGTTTGTCAGAATCAATTGCTAATTATTAATTTGTCAGAATCAATTGCTAATTATTAATATTTGTTAAATGAGCTATCGTTTTAGTTGTTTTATGATTTGTTAAAGTTAGAACAATTAATCCGTTTTCACAAAGAGCCCAAAAGTTCACTTTTAAGACCTTACTGTTGTGGATTAATTAGTTGTTTATTCCTTATGAATTGGTCATAGTTCCCAAGATGTTTTTTGTAGATATTGAATACCTTAAAAGTAGGCCCAGACACAGGCCTGGATTGGCTAATCGGGAGGACCGGGAGAATTCCCGGTGGGCCTCTCCGTTTTTTGGCCGCGAGGGCCGGTATCCCTAGCTCCAGAATCTGTTGCTCTCTGCAGTCACACTTTTTTAATTTATTTATTTATTTACTTGACCACAGCCTTCTTATTCATTATTTTACCGCAGCTCTGCTCTTTTTATCTATTTTCTCGTAGCCTTGTGAGCAGGATGCAGCCTGCAGGTCAATGATGATATAAGTAGATAAGTCAATTCTTTTAAAGTACAGCTGTTGTGGTACAGTGGATAGCAAGATAGACAATGACGTCGCCATCCTGGGTTCGATCCTCGCCTGCCTAAGATTTTTTTTTTTTTTTCATTTTAATTGTTAAGGCATATTATACTGTAAGGGTTGTTGAACATTTGAAGTTCTAAAACAGCTGTTTTCTCGAAAAAAATAAAAAATAAAAGACGTGATAGTGTAATTAGAAACTGATTTGGAAATGACCTTATTTTAATATAGTCAGTGGTGAACTGAGGTGGGCCGCTCTAAGGCTTGAAACCCCAGGGCTGAAAAAGAGTCCCACTCCGGACCTGGCCAGACAGAATATGCAGACATTTTTTGTTATTTTTGCGCATCATTTTGTAAAAAAAAAAAAAAAAAAAACTGTAGATTAATGCAGAATTATTTTAGGAACATTCACAACTAAAAACTAAATAAAAAAGGAATACCTTTTAACTTTTATTTAATGTTCACAATGCAATTCTAATTAGATCCACTTATTTGGTATACAAAGCAAGTTTCCCATATAATATCTCTACTGAAAAACAGGAAATATTACTTTACAAACTGCACTGTTAATAAATAATGAACATTTTAAAATTAATATTATTATATCGCAATAATATTAGTGAAATTAATTTAAAACTGAATAAATTAAAATTTACATAAGTGCATAGACTCAATAGTGGGCTCAAAATCTGTGTATTTCTGCATGCGCAGATATTCCCTTTATTATTCAGGAGTCGCCACAGCAGAATGAACCGCCAACTTAATCAGCATGTTTTACACAGCGGATGCCCTTCCAGTACTGGAAACAAAAACACTAATATTTACTATAAATTACTAGTTTTTTTCATAATTTTTGAATTATGTGGTAATTTATGTTAATAAAAAGTAACTTATTCAAAAAACAATTCTAACATTTTGTTCCATGTAAATTTAGAGGTACCACAATGCCTTATCTTTCCAAAGGCTTTAAATACCACAACCACTCGTCGCTTTGGTTCATCAGATTAAATTACCAAATATAAATGACTATGGAGTTAACCACTCTATCAGGGTGCCAAATGAGGCCCTACTTTAGTCCTGTCGAGGTAT